AATAAATAGAACCACGTGGAACACATGAAATTTTGGGTGTGGAGAGAGGAGGATGGTGGACTGATTATTGGTTTTTGTTGACTGCAGGTCACTCAGTCACACCAAGAAATTGTTGCCTCTTGGGGATTCTTTACCCAGTTTAAGGCTCTGTGCAGTGAAAAACCTTGAGGTGAACCCAAGGCACTTCTGCACACGCAGACCCATCAGCAGGTGAGAAGGCTGGAGCATCCTGCCACATCTTGACATGCTGCAGAACTTCCTGACTTGGAGCACTGGCTTGATCTTTCTCTGAGCTCATTTCACACCCCCAAAAAGGCTGAGCTGTCTCCATTTAACAAATCTTCTTTGGCTATAAGCTTTGCTACTAAAACAAAGCTATCTTTATAGGAAATACTTCTGAATTTCAGGGTATAATTTTAGCCTTTCCTCTGCTGAGAAGAATCAAATGAGAAGCATCTGAAGGTGTCAGGATAAAAACATACAAAGGAGCCATCCACAATAACACTAGCATCATTTTTGCTGCCTGCTGCCTCAGAGGTCACTTCAGCACTGCAATTATGGGGTCAAAGCTTGGGTATATATTCAATGTCTGGAATTATTATTTCTATTTATGGTATCCTGTTGAAAATGCAGTGATGCTCAGGTGGCCACAGTGGGAATTCTTTGCAATATGAAGGAGGTCAGGCAGGAAGACCAAAATGATACCTTCTGGCTCAGCATGTTCAGATGCTGGGTAATGACGGGGTTGGGGCTGTTTCTCCCAAAGTCTGTTAGGATAATTAAGGCTATGGTCATATGCTGCACATGATGCTGTGCTATCTCTCTCGGCTGCTAAATCAATAATCTCCAAAGCAAGCATTTTGTCGCCCTTGCAAATAACATTTGTTTTACTGTCTGATTTGAAAATGTTTTCTGTTTTCAGTTGCACTAACAGGAAAAACTTCCTTTGCTCACTGGTGTGGCTCCTTGCATTCTGTATGTAAAGTTTGGAATTTAATGGACTCTCATATACGAAAGAATGCATTAACTACAGGTCAGCAAAGTCTGTTTATTGTGTTGTTTTAGTATGGAGAGCTATTATTACCCTGTTGCTTTTAAGGTAGACTGTTTAAAGGTAATTATTTAGTCTCTCCAAAGCCATGCAGAATGCCAACACAACCCCTGCTTGTTTACATTAATGATACAGTATAGAGTCACCGTTCAATGTTAACCTCGGTTTACCCTTGGGGTAGCTGACTGGTAAGGAATGAAGAGTTTTTGTTAATCTTTTTCTTTCTTGCTTGCCAAGGATTGTCATGTGGTTTCTCTGGACTTGTCATTCATTCAAAAATTAATTCAAAAAAGATTTTTTTTTTTCAATTCCCCTTTAGGATTGAAGTTTCAGAGTGTTCTATAACAAGCGTAGAAACCATGAGTCTGAATCTATTTTTATTCTTTGTCACAATCCCACGTATTTTCCCACGATAATCTTTGCAATCAGTGTGGGAATTTATATCAGGATTGAGCCATGTATTGTGTAAAATGCCTTTTTTTCCGCTCTTAGGATGGAAGGGCAAAGAACACATAAGGGGATGGCCACCTTGGACAGTGAGCTGGGAGGGGAACTCCAGTACTAACTAATTACAAACAATAATTGGCCTGGTACAACCTCTGAAAGCTGTGCTCTTCTCAGGTATCCCTGTGGGACTGCAGAAATGAAGATGTCCAAAATTTTGGGAAGTGGAAGTCTCAGTGTGTTTAGGAAGTTGATCCAACGTGACGCGTCCATCATCGGTCTTGAGCATCTGTGGCAGAATCAACAAGTGAATCCAAATCATCAAACTTCCTCCCAATTAAAAGGTAATTGGTGGCATCCTGGTCTTTCAGGCACCAGACTGCTCCTCATGAAACATTCAAAAGTCTTTACCAAGGAGGAAAATGAGGAGGGAGGTATTTATCCACCCGATGGACATGGCATGTAATTACTGTAGGCATATCCTGATAATTTGTCTGTGTTGCTCACCGCTGCTGTGTCTAAGAATTCCTTGATATTCAAAGGGTGCCCTAACCAAGTCAGGTTCTCATAAGATGATTACATGATGAAATTATATTTCACGCCTGTATATTATAGTGTGCGCACACATATACTTTCATCATATATCAGACTGTAGTTTGATACTATGCACCAGAGGATGTCTGCAAATTGAATTTTTTCAGGATAGTTATCCTAAATAACTCCATTGTAGGGAAACCTGTATTGTAGCACAAAAGCACCTTACTCTCCTTTATCATAATCCATTTTAAACATGGATTATGCTGATGCAGAACAGGGCACTCCTATTTTGGAATAATTTTAAATAGGAGTAGGTTCTGTGCTTTCGGCTCACACCCTGCATATTATCCAAAACAGCTTTGAAGTGTAAACAAGTCTCTAATGTATCTCTGTAGTATTTCCATTCTGCTCCCTGGCTCCTCCTTGTTCCCTGGCTCATCCTTTGGGAAGGTCCAGAGCAAAACCAGACCTGCAGAGCCTGTCATTTAGGTCTTTGTTTTCACAAACTTCATACCAAGGGACATTTCCAATCCAATTCCCAATTTAAATGCATCCCTAAGCTTTTGAAGAGAGTATTTAGATGCAAGTTTCTGACTCTGAGCCATCCCCACAAATTATATTACTACATCAAATGTTTCCTTTCACACTTTTAGAAGAGGGAGATCCCTCTGGAAGCCTGTGGTCCCTTTTGGGACTGGTTATTTCTCTATCATCAGCGTATTCTGCAACTTTCAGAGAAAACTGGTGGGTACAACTCTGCGAAAGGTCCAATATACCAAGTGCTGTAGTGACTCAGACCCATGGCCGTCTGCCCAGTCTCTCTGTGACAAG